CCCAGTGGCGGAGTAACACAGAGAACAACATAGCCCATTGGCGGAGTAACACAGAGTACAACATAGCCCATTGGCGGAGTAACACAGAGAACAACATAGCCCAGTGGTAAAGTAACACAGAGAACAGCATAGCCCAGGGGCGAAGTAACACAGAGAATAACATAGCCCAGGAGCGGAGTAACACAGAGAATAACATAGCCCAGGAGCGGAGTAACACAGAGACCAACATAGCCCAGTGGTATAGTAACACAGAGAACAGCATAGACCCAGTGGTATAGTAACACAAGAGACCAACATAGCCCAGTGGTAATGTAACACAGAGAACAACATAGCCCAAGTGGTATAGTAACACAGAGAACAACATTGCCCAGTGGTATAGTAACACAGAGACCAACATAGCCCAGTGGCGGAGTAACACAGAGAACAACATAGCCCATTGGCGGAGTAACACAGAGTACAACATAGCCCATTGGCGGAGTAACACAGAGAACAACATAGCCCAGTGGTAAGGTAACACAGAGAACAGCATAGCCCAGGGGCGAAGTAACACAGAGAATAACATAGCCCAGGAGCGGAGTAACACAGAGAATAACATAGCCCAGGAGCGGAGTAACACAGAGACCAACATAGCCCAGTGGTATAGTAACACAGAGAACAGCATAGACCCAGTGGTATAGTAACACAAGAGACCAACATAGCCCAAGTGGTAAGGTAACACAGAGAACAACATAGCCCAAGTGGTATAGTAACACAGAGAACAACATAGCCCAGTGGCGGAGTAACACAGAGAACAGCATAGCCCAGTGGCGGAGTAACACAGAGAACAACATAGCCCAGTGGCGTAGTAACACAGAGAACAGCATAGTCCAGGGGCGAAGTAACACAGAGAACAGCATAGCCCAGTGGTATGGTAATCACAGAGAACAACATAGCCCAGTGGTATGGTAACACAGATTACAACATAGTCCAGGGGCGGAGTAATACAGAGAACAATATAGCCCAGTGGTAAAATAACACAGAGAACAACATAGCCCAGGTGCGGAGTAACACAGAGAACAACATAGCCCAGTGGTATAGTAACACAGAGACCAACATAGCCCAGTGGCGGAGTAACACAGAGAACAGCATAGCCCAGTGGTATGGTAACACAGTGAACACCATAGTCCAGAGGCAGAGTAACACAGAGAACAAAATGGTATACAGGTAACCCGGCAGGACCATAAAAACGAGGGACGTTTTGGGCCACGAGGCATTTGTCAACTACAAACAAAGAAAAACAGACAAACAATTGACAAAGTCGTGCTCCGCCATTCTTTGTTTTTACATGGTATGCCAGAATTACCTAACTGTATGTTTGATGCATTTTCTATACAGTCGTTCACCCCTGCATTAGATTTTTTTAATGTTAGCTTTGTAACGACGACTTAAAAAATACATCAACGCCCCAGCCCTACCCCCCCCCCCCCCACACAAAAAAAGGTGTCAATAAATTGAATATTAAAAAACTTATATAAAAAGTCTCAGCGAATTTTGTTTTATTTTCAGGATTTCGAGCTTATCAATAAATTAATATTTCTTAGGATTCAGTTTTTGTTAGAATTGCTAAATCTGGATATCATTGGCTATCTGTTCCATGTTCGATCTAAAATAGTCAGTTTTAAAAGTTTTTTTTTATGTATGAACTTTACAAAATCAAGCACTTTCCATTTTTTAGCTTTTTTGAAGACTAACTTTTGCTGACTATAGGTGCCATATCACTCTTGGTATTTCTGTTGCAATGTCGTCTTGAGGTATAAAATATATTGATTTGTCCTGGTGCCATTGCAAAATATATCTGCTACCTCGTTGGTCGCTTCCAGTCTGAATTGATGCTTGTCCATAGACATATATATATATATTTGTGTCTATGTGCTCGCCATAAGCCCAAATGATCAATTCACTCAAGCTTTGATTTCTTGTCCTCTGGGATCTTCAAGTTGCTTTCCTGACATTTTCTTCTTTTTTTTAAAATTAGTTTTTTCTTTTGAAATACCGATGCTTGATTGAATTGAGAATAATCTTTTCAATACCATTTTGAATTACTGAATCACGCACAGCCTAAACAAACAAAAGTTTATCACGCTAAAAATGTGTAGAAAAATGTTTATTTACATTTTGTTGAATAATAATGAAACTATTCGAAGTACAAATGTCTGCAGGGCCCTATAAAATTAAAAATAAATAAATAACAATCTTAAGTCCGCCTAAGCGATCAAAGATACTGGTAGGCTATACATTTCAACCAAACACGTGGCAAGATATTGAATTAGTTTTGATATTTCGAAGGGAGTCGTCATTGAGAAAGTGAGCTTGAGTTTTCTATTTTCGTCACGGTCTGAACAAATGAAATTAAAAGACACTTTCAGAAACTGTTTTACCTTCTGTGATAGTTATAGGCCTTATACTTTGACAACTTCTCTTGCTTTTCCAATGAATAGCTAGTTTTATGCTTCCCCCCCCCCCCCCCCCCTGAAGTTGTTGAACATTCAGTCAGGACAGATAAGATCTGAGGGGACCATCACACTGTTTTGTTATCTTCAGTGTTACAGAAAATTTAAACAACAGTATTACTGAATAAAGATGAAAATAAAATCATTTCGTTTTGTTAACAACCACCCACTGCCCAGTTCACTTAAATTATACGAAAGCTTGGGTAGCTGTCCCTTGTACATTGTTTTAGACCAGTGTCTCCAAAACTGTGTTCCGCGGAACCCTTGTGAGGCCCGAATAGGTGTTCCACGAACAACTGGAATAATTAACTGGTAGGCCATCACGTGAATTAACCTCTAAAACAATAAGCAAGTGTTCCGCTAAATATTCAGAATGTGCGAAGCGTTCCGTTAACGAAAAAGTTTGGCCAACACTGCTTTAGACTATTAAGACATCTGCCAACTGATCATGGTTTCTGCCTTTCATAATCGTAATGCTACGTGAAAGGCTAAAGCCTATTCAGACAAGCCAAGCTATTGGACAAATTCCACAGATTTAACTCGATCATCATCTCAACAGCTACGTATGCATGCAAGATGTAGAAGACATTGGCCCAAATCGAGATAAGGCTAAATATGGCTCAGCAAAATGGTTAAGACGGATTTTAGGAGTCAGTTACAGAGATCGGGTCACAAATCCTAATCCAAACTGGAACCACTTCACGAGGTTGTGACGGAGTGTCGCATGAGGTTTGCGGACATATCCTCCAACAGAATGAAGTAGGGGAAAGTGGGGTAATATGACATTTTGAGATGGTGGGCAATATGGGCATTTGTGTTTTTCTTTTTTCATAGGTCGGTATTATATAAAATTTGGCGAAGCGGAAACGAGGCTTACGCTAAGAAACAACATTCGCAATTTTAATTCACACTGTGGATTGCAATATTAGTCTAATAAAAAGTTTTTAGAAAATTTACATTACATCACATTTTTTTAAGGATGTCTAAATGCTTAAAAAGTAAGATATCATATTATATTTGGTATATAATAAATTCATGAGCAAATATTAAGAATAAAAGTTTTAAAATTCTGATCAGCACAGCGATATGGTTGTAATAACAAACTTTTCAGTGTTCTACCCTGGGGGTAATATGGGATAATTAGTTGGGGTAAATCAGAGTACGATATTTTTTTTTATGTTTAAGTGCTCAAATATTACATCTAGATCTTAATTGGTAGTGAATGTTCAAGCAGAAGAAAACCCAAAATAATCAACTCATATAAAAGCTGAATTAGCCAATATTATTAATTAAAATGAAGACAATTATTTTTTCACATCAGCTTCAGTGCGCGCACGGTTCACTTTAGACAGCCACTTTTTTTATTGTCTTCTTAACAGAAAATATTTTAAAAATAATACAATTTTTTTGATGTTTTAAACTTTGTTTTGTTTACTTGATTTACAAAATTATATTTTATTTTTATAGTTTTCATACATTGGTTGTTTATCCTATATTACCCAATTATGGCGGGTAATATGGGATACTAAAATGATTTCATTTTATTTCTGTAGCTCAAAAAGTAATGCTCGAATCATTCTGATCTTTAGTGAAAAGTTTATTTCATATATACTGAATCCATTTTATATTAGCGTTTGGTAAAGATATATCAATTATAAGTTTTATAACTCTTTAAAGTGAAGTATCTCCTATTACCCCACGTTCCCCTACGCATACCAAGAGTTGCGATGACATGGAGGCCGATACAAGGAAAGCGCAAACAGGGACGTCCGCGTATCACACTTTATGAACCTCAGTGCAATGGACTCCAAGTGGGTAGAGGCTTCAGACGTTGCATTTACAGATATTTATGGAGACAGCTTACTTCCCAATGAGCCTAACGGCGCGAGAGGATCCAAGTCTAACTCAACTGTTCATACTGTGTTATGTATTAGTGATAACTTCCCTTGGTTCCATTTAGCCGTCAATGATTCAAAGTAATTGTAAAGAATGATAGTCTTGTCCTGTTCACTTGAATGTATTCTAATAACGTGGCCATGCAAAAAGACTTTGTCATCGATCCAAAACATTAAAGTGGAGTGCAAATTTCCCGTTACCACGCCAAACCAGTGTTGACCTGCATATTTTGTAACATATGATGCAGACAAAGCCAATGTCCGTTCTTTGGGGGGTGGAATAATTATAAAAAAAAGATGATTTGTGTGTTTGTGTGCATGAGGTTTGTTCATCGAAGGAATAAATTATAGAGGAAGAAAATAGGAAAACGCAAACAGGGACGTTCTCGTAAAACTTTCAGGAAGGATCTCAGTGCAGTGGACACCAGATAGGAATAGGCTGCTAACATGAAGACAGCTTGCCACCCAATGCGCCTGTCGCCATGGTAGGATCTAAATCTAAGTACATACATTTATTTTAAAAAAAAATCATCTTAGAAGAGCCTATCCCATCTCTCCTTGTAATTATTTTCCTTTTCATTTCTGAACAAGATAAATAACACAAGCAACAAGCGCTCCATTTTTGGAATCAAGTTTATTGGACAAAAAAGCTTTTTGAAACTTATGTTCAAGAAAATGTCACTTTATATTATGTCAATCGTTTTAGTGATTTGTATGTTCCTAAAACATTTGCTTTGGCTGAGACAGAGAAAATGTTGACTGCTACACTGTGGTACCATGGGGCTAGGTAGCCATACAATAATATTTTGACCAACGACTATAAATGTGGCAACCTTTTTTTTTTTTTTTTGCTACGGGTAGATAAAACTGCCCAGTAGTTAGTAAAACTTTTCTCAGACCTGGCAGTCCTAAGAAAAAAAAAGGAAAGAAAGCAGGTTAAAGTTTGGTAAAGCTAAGACAAACAATTAGAATGGAGAGGGCTTGGTCAAATATAGGACTAACGCTAACAACAAAAACTTGTCTTACTGGAAAGTGAAGATGAAAGAACACGAAATGAAAATGGTCATCAATACAAATCATGTGCTCCTCAAAGCTACATTACAGGAGCACACTTGTATGTTCAGGTCTAACAACTAAATGCCCCATGCACACACACACAAAAAGCATGACATTCACATTTCCCCCACTTTCTGCAGCCAACTCTGAAGCAAGTAGATGAGTTGTACACGGTTGACATTAAACACTGGATTCTTTGTTCTCATTTCCCTCCCAGCAACTTAAACCCAAAGTTCTTTTATTAGTATCTATAAGTTACATCAAGGAATACATCAATGACTGGCTTTCAAATTTATTACATGAAAAGGTTACATAAAACCATAAACTACCTTTTAATAGTAGCTCATATTTGCACACGCCTGTATAAAATTGCAATTAAAAAACATTCATCTAATATAAAAATATTATCAGACCCATTAATAAAAAACAAATTACTGCTGCAACTGCAAGGTTTCTTATATGCTTGTTTGTTATATTTTCTATAGGCCATAACTAAAAGAGAAAAAAAAAGTCAACATTGTGACAAATTTGTAATATAGACTCTTATACAATCAAAAAATAAAAAAGTTAAAGTGTTTATCACTAATGAGGAGGCTAGTACATTTCATCAGCCACACCAAACAAACAAACAAAACAAAGCTTCATGTTAAGGAGGGGCTAACCACCATGGCCATTCATTGAAATGAGGAATAGTACAATTATTTACAAGTCACCATGGCACATTGCTAAATTTAATATGAAGTGTTATAAACACCAGAGATAATGACTAACTATTAGTACTAATTCTAATCTATCATCGATTGACTCATCAACTGATACAGAGAAAGCTATACCATCAATAGCTCAGAAAACAAAATGTAGTTTCAATAAAACATCAAGGTATATAAAAAAAAGCTGAGTGTAATCCACACCGTATGTTGTTAATAACAAGAATTCTGACATAATGTTGTTTTTACAGCCTTACAGAAGGTTACGGTGAAAATCACCAGTTCAAAGAAATGTGGGCTACCATATCCAGAGCATGTTTTCCCTCAAACCTTTAGTACAATGAAAGATTGACATTGAATTCTCCAAGTGACACCCAATGTCAAGTCTGTTTAGTCCCTGTGTCTATCACACACAACTCCTGCCCCTAAATCCCAACTGTATAAGTCTACAATGAGACTTTTGAAAATCAATATTTGCTAATTAACCTTTATAGTTCTTTACTTACTTAACATTTAAAACTAGTTTTGTATTGTCTGAGACAAAAAATAATCTAACAATGACTTCAAAGACAATAATTGACAAGTTTCAGGTTAATGAGTTCAACAAAACAAAAGACAAAGAGAGATGGAGTTGAGCATCAAGGCTGTGTATGTAATTAGTCCAAATCACCTACTGTGGGGTAATTCTATCACAATCAAAGAAAACAAGAAATGGTTTTGAAAAGTCCTACTGATATAAGTACTGGATGCATTGGTAGAAATAACATCATGAAATACAAGACAGAAGATGAGAGCAAGTCATTTGATTACTGGTTGGTACATTTCACACAGAAATACAAAACATTACATTTATTGTACTATTCACATTCAAATGCTGAGATAATAAATGACACAAGAAGAATATCACATAGAGAAGCCAAACCAAGTGAAGAACATTCATATGATGTGTTGTCATGGTTTATGCTGATATTACAGTCCATGGACATGACGTACAAAATAAATTAGACATTGAAAAATGCAAGCTGTCTTCCTTACCTGTTGAAGACAAAATCTATAAAATTAAATAATAGTTAATGTGAGCTTCCAAATTTAAGTTTGAAAATGAAACATAGTTCATGACAATTTATGATTGGATTTCATTTTCTACTGAATAGATTTACCTAAATAGAAGATTTAAATTTAAAAGACTTGAAACTCAAAGATACATGTCTGGAAAATAAAAACAATGTCTGGAATGATTTGTCAAAACTTTTAGTGCAAATTGTAAGAATTATAGCATTTCACTTTCTTTCATTGAGAACAGAAGAAGTTCAGGCGTAAACAAATTTTAAATTATGTATAAGTTTAAAAAAAGAAACAAACTAGAAATTATAAAACAAAAACATAACCAATTCACATTTATATTTTGCCTCAAATAAGTTTGCAAAAAGTTGTCACAGAAACTGTTATACAGAAATAAAACATAGAGTTCCCAATCACTTGGTAATGTTTAGATGAAAAGTTATTTTCTGAAAAGTCAAATCTGCATTGTACACACGAGTCTGAAGTGCATTTACCAGGCAAAGTAAAACAATGCAGCTTACTAGTCAGGGTTATATCAATCTATGCACACCACTTACCAGAGTAGTTCTATAAAGTATGATCTCTTAAGATGTGATACTAGTTTTAACTTTAGCAGTAGCACAGACTGTGTGTCAAGCTTTAAATTAAAAATGAATAACACTAGCCAATCTTTATTAACAGGCAAATAAAATTGTTCAGGTGTGATTGAATAGTAAGCTCTATGAATTCTAATTTTAAATTGAGTGAGGAAATAAAAACTTCACACATTTCTTTGTATACTTGCTCTATCCATAAAGGAAAGAAGTGAGAATGAGTCAACCCAACATATACAAAATGTGTAGAGATATAAGGGCATTGATTAGTCAGCACCAAAATGTTAATACAAAGACTTTCAAGTTTTAAAAAGTACCAATTGTGCCAGAAAAAAAAACAAGCAACTCTGGTGACCCAGAGCTTTGAAATCATGCCTTCAATCAGTGGGTGCATTCATGGTCCAGCTTGATGTAAACATGTGAATGAATACAATGTCATTATGGTACAATGCTACACAGATGTATGATACATAGAGACTAAGATGTATGTAGATAAAAAAAAAAAGACGAATGGTATCCCTGACTTTTGATCTAAGTCTTGTGTTGAAGGTTTAAAAAAAGTATGGAAATAAAGGAAATGCAGAGCCTTTATATGTTGATGTGTATTACATTTACAGAGATATAGAAAAAAATGTAATGAGCAACCCAATACAAAATTTCCAGTCTAGTATAATCTTCAACCAGGGTCACATTAAAGAATGGCATCCATCTAATTGAAATACATAATGAAAGTTTTTTTTTCTTTCTCTTAAGAACCAATATAAAACTAACATCCTTCCACTAGTTTTATTTATAAATTGAAAAATGAATCAAGAAAATACAAACATATTCAGTATTTACCTTAATGTAGTCAAGACCATTAAATATTAGAATATACTGTTTATTGTTTAGAACTAGGATCATTTCATTGATTATTCCCAACATAGGGAAATTAAAGTCTAATTCACAATTTATCTTAATTCTTGTTATTGAATGCAAAATTTAATGAATGCACAAAATTTATTGCCTGTAAAAATTACATTTATTTCAAGTCTATTCTGTGAGGGTCAGAGTGGGACATTTATCAATGTTTTAATTTGATGAGAAAATGGGAAAAGTAGTAATTTACTATCACTTTATCTATTTTCCATGAAAAAGCTAGGAGCATTAAATAAAATATAAAACAAAAAGATAAATAACAAAGCTAATAGACTCTTTTCTGTAACTCTTATTTTTACAAAGCTAATATCAACCCACTCAATCTGTCTGGTACAAATCTTGGGGGACATGGTATTTATCTTATTTCCCATTCTTGGATCAAGTTGAAACTTTGCAAAATTATTCATTGTTGAAGGCGATACATGAATTTAAAAAAAAAATAAATAGCCAGTTAGTTATGGTAATCAATTAGTGCTAATTAAATTTTTTTTTATAGAAAAAGAAGATAAAACTTACAGTACTGAAATATGTTCTTTCCCTTATATAAGCTTAGTTTTTAAAAAGTACCTTATTATTTTATTTATTTTTTTTGTTTACAGGCTATAGTGCCCCAGTAAATAGTCCACATGAAACAAGGAATTAAATTTAACCCAATATTTCTGGTTTGAAAAATTCTTTCCAACCTTTAGCAAAGAGGGGTAGCTCTGAATAAAAAAAATTCTTAAAAATAAACATTTTGAAAAAATAATAAAATTTTAAATCTAATACAAATAAATAAACTTTAGAAAATAGAATGTTATGTCTAGTTTAAAAAAAAATTATACTTTTAAAACCTTTAGAATATCAAAAAGAGCTTCAAAAATACACATTTTCCCAGGTGGTGACCTATACACTGGGGCTACAGGCCTGTTAATTTGAAAATTATTTAAAAGATAATAGAAAAGCAAACCACATCCGGTTTAAATGAAAAATAGTCAACACACTCTAGTTCTTGTTCGAAATGAGCCATGATGAGCTCTTTGTAAAGAAAATTTTAAAAAACTGTTGCTAGCACCCCATCACATTATCCTGTTGTAGGATATAAACCTAAAATGCACTGCAATAGGCGCTATTTGGTTAAGTTTGCTGTTGTTCTGCAATAACTTGATGTTAAATTGTGGCTGTAGCCTAGTCGCCAATTAACTTAACACACAAAATTAAATTAATAAAAGAATTCTGCAGAAAATTATCTCCAATGCATCACTAATTGTTCTGACTAGATTTTATTTTCTGTTCAATTTCACACTTACTTAACTTTCATCTGCAATTAGAAATTGCACATTCCTATTATTTAAAATGTAATCAATAAGGGAGTGGGGCATTGAAGCTTTTATTATCTTTTACAGACAAGAAATATTTGATAAGAATGCTTTCAATATATTTCTTTGCAACAAAATGTTATATTCAGAAACATCAAAAAAAAAAATGAGCCCTAAAAATCATTCAAACGTAAGTGTTGGAAGTGAGTGTTCTAT